GATCGTCTCGACAGTCAGGAGTTCCTGTTGCATCATGAAATTGAACAATGAATCCAAATCATTAACGAAAGGATATTACAGAAATTAAAAATAGAGTAAACATATGGCTTGAACAAGAACATTTTCAACATTTGCTGTGACGTTTAACCACAATAAATTTGTTTCTTTTTATTGTAATGAATTAGTTTTATTTTTTAATAAGATGTGAACAATTTAAGCAACCAATTATATAGATTCGTGTGGTATCTGATGCGAGTCCGTGCGCATTTAGTAAAATCTGCATGAAGTGAGAGGTGGCACACGTTCATGATCTACTTCGACCATATAACTATTTATAAAAATCCTGTATATGAGAAAGTTAATTTACGTGATCATAAGAACTCCAGTTATAGCTATCATGAATAACATATCGGAGAATTAAAAACTTTTGGTTATATTACCTACAATGTATGAGTAATTATTTTGTGGAAAATTTCGGACAGTTGGGCGGCGACAGAATGAAAGATTTAAGACGGAAGATTTTTAATCCGTGGTGGCAATTTATTGTAAAATTTTATACCCTAATAAGTGGCGCTAAATCTACTTTTCCCAAGACGGTGAAAATCGATATATTCATTACTCCTAAATGCAAATGAGTACATATCATCATGTATCTGATAATCTTTTAAATGAATTTTAATATACAGGAGTGGCCTTCGATTCCGTGGAACAGGAAAGATTATGGGAATGTGTGAGGAAGGCGTGAGTAAGAAGTTGTTAAAAGGAGTAAAAGACGTATATGAAGAGACGTAAAGTAGTGTGAACATTTTAGAACAATGAATGTTCTACGTCAGGGATGGCCTTTAAGTCCTAGCCTGTTCTCAGTATATGTAAGCAACATTGATGAAATGTTGCAAGGGGTACAGCTAGGCGAGGTGGTGGTAGGAAGAGAGAAAATGTGGTTCCTTGCGTATTTGATGAAAATGAGGAGATTGAGAGGGTGCAAGAGAGATATCTGAAATGGGTGTTAAGGCTGGAGAATTGGGCATACGCAGCGGGGGCATTGACATACAGGAGGAATGAGAGGTACAATGGTCAATACCTGGAAATAATAACCGGGGACTGGCCGAAATATCTGGAGAGAGAGAACGGGAAGGAGAAAAGGATGATCGCGGTATTTAGATGTGGGAATGAGAAGGGTCAAAATAGGTTCTGCATTGATAAAAAGGATAATGTGTGTAGGCTTTGTGGAACAGCAACGGAGACAGTGGGGTATTTATTGAAGGAGTTGAAAAAGAGAGATGAAAATTCAGAGGAGATTTTGAGCGTAGTATAAGTTGGATGAAAGGCGTATGTAGAGCTAGCGAAAAATTAAACGGACGCGATAAGACATGGAAAATTAAGGAAACAACAAATTTTGGTTTGTTCAATCAATCAATCAATCAGTCAATCAGCTTATTCCTGCTTTGAACAACTTGCGTGGTGGTAATCGACAATGTACCATACCATTCGATGCAATTGGACAAACCCATATTTTCTAGCAGAAAAAATCATACAGTAGTTAAGTGATCACAATTTTGAATCTTATCAAAATTAAAAAAAAAACTGTTAGAGTTAATTGAACCTTTTAGAACTGATTGGAAAAAACTATTTTTTTGTATACACTCCCAAAAACAGCTATTTTACAGACTCAAACCTTGTTACCCAAATTCTAGAAAATACCAGTACATCAAACATTGTCAACATCATGGCCGAAAAGAACATGTCTTTTCATCCGATTCTTGGTGTTAGTTTTAATAATTATGAACATTTAACAGTGAATTTCAATGTAAAAAAATAATAGTTCAATAATAGTTCATAAAACTCCCTAGTGAGTTTTTAGCAATATTATTTCCCCAGGGAATAATCTGTGGTCTTTGTTATGATTTTTGAACCATAGAAACCATATTTTTGGTCTTGCGATTATAAAGAATAATTTTTTACACATCAACAACGACTATTAAACTAAAGGTATCAAAAAATCAGTAAAAATGATTTCTTTACTAGACCTAGAATTCGAAATACACCGCTTTGATCATAATAAATATGTTTTGCTCATGGTAATCGGTAATCGCCCATCAAAAATTCGCTGAAGCTTTTCTTATGGAAGACCCTTTTTTGTTTTAAGGATTTTGGAAGAATAAAAATGTAAAAAAAGTAAAACCACAGTAAATATTAAATCATCTGAAACCTTAGAGTTCCCGACAAAAAAATGTAAAAGTTAGAAATAGCACAATGTACTTACTGAAAAATATTACACAGGCTTGAAACATTTAACTTAGTGTTAGAGTGTTAGAAGTATATTTGACAAAAGTTGGTGTGTTCCTAAACCCCAAAGTGAGAAACCAACTTTTTTTAATGATTATGAGGTTAGTTGAGTTTTTACCTTTTTACTTTTTTCGATTTCTCTGCGTTCTATGCAAAAAATCCCAAGAAATTGTTGACCGATCTGATTTAAACAGAGTTCTTAATTAAGATTCTAATACCCTTAATCGAAATATAATGTCAAACTTTATTGAAAGTGAATAACCTTTTTATTATGTAAATTTTCAAACTACTTACAAATGATTTCCAATAAAAATAAATGGGGTATACGTGGAAAATGTAAGAACGAGGGGAAATGGAAAGGAAAACTTTATATCGCTAGTTTCAAGAATTTATTATATTGAGCTTTAGCGATAAGATCATTTTAAAATAAATTACCTATGACGTTTGTAGTACATGAATACTGTCGCTCGTAGTCTTTATCGTTCAATTATTATCTGCCCTAACTTATACGATAATTTCCATATTAGTAATGATGTAATTCACTTTTTAGTTTTTATATTATCAAAAAAATAGTCGTATTTTCAGAAGTCGTATTTACTCAATCGGTCCAGTTCGCGTCATATGTCAGCACTTATTTTTTGATTCACCGTAAATTAGGGGTCCATTTCACGATGGCTAATATCATGTTTTCTCGACGTTACATATTTCTTAGAATATATAAAGTAGATATCCCGTTTCCGTCTGTCTGTCCATCTATTGACGGTTTATTAAACAATTCATCGTCGAAACTATTCAACACACTACTGCGAAATTCTAGATGTAATTTAGGATTATTGTACAGATAGTAACCAAAATATGGCTGTTCATCCCCACTAAAAATAATATGAATCCGTTTTTATTTTTAACGTTGCTTTTGTAATTTTTAGGAAAAACATTCAAAATTGCCATTAAAATGAAACTACAAAACCAATTGCCCTAAAATTTTAGACATGCTTTAAAATTATCGCGAACGTCATTTCTAAATAGTTTGTAAAAAAATCTTAAACTTAATTAAAAATGGTTTAACTACATTAAAATTAATTTTTCCTGAAATTTGGTGGTATTCATGTGATAATCACAAATTGTTATAAAAAAATATATCGCTTTAAACGCAGGACATAAACATTCGCTATTCAAAGTTTTTCACACCTATTTTTGCATTTGTTTAATCGACTGTGCTTCAAGTCCGTGAGAAGTTCTATCAAAACGACTTTAGGCCAATTCTGCACTATTTAAGTTGCTTCAAGTTTAATGCCAGTGTGATCAATCTTGGTAACATTCATCCAGCTGACCGCTACTCGTTCTGGAATTCCAACATCACACAGCTGTTTGATGTCGACAACGATGTTTTTTCTTCGGAGAGCAAGCAAGCATCCCACGTATGTAGAAAAATGGAAGAACGAGGAACGAAGGAGAAGGAATATTTCATGTCGCTGCCTCGGAAAATTTATTTCATCCATCTTTTACAAGCATAACAACGAATAGTGGCGTCGCAATCTCTCACTTACACGACTTCCATTACATCTCGTTTGTCGCTTATTAATCCCAGGGTGGTTAATCGACGTATTCTCACCTGTGCAGCGGCAAGCCTCGGAAGGGCGGTTTGGTCCCCATAACCGACATTCATCCCGGTTTTAATCACGACGAAACAAGCGAATCGATGTGTGATGTGGTCAGCCTCGAAACAACTGTCATCTGGAATTATGGCGTTATTTGTCGGTTTAGCTTTGATGTTCTCACACCCGGTGGTTTAACATGGTTTAGATTGTTTGGGGGGTGGTGTCATGGCGGTTATGATATTAAATTAATTAATATATACGGCGTCCGTGAAATCTGAAAAACAGTCGAAAACAATTTTACTTCCCGACTGTAATACGACGAATGGATGTTTTATCGACGTTTCATTACCCCTACAATATGAAAAAGTAAGTTTCGCATTTCTGTTGGTCTGTCGTCTGTTCAATGTTATTAGACAGATAATCTCCAACTCTAAGCTTACCTATCTTATCTACTTTTTACATACATTTTTATTTTAACTTATAGGGACATCTTAAAAAATAAAATTCGCATAATTCTACTGAAATAACCTTCAACCAATTTTGTTACTTTAGTAACTTTTTACCCTCTTACATATAGTGTTTGAATAGATGACTTTAATCTACTTCACATAAAGCGCGAATTCTCTGAAAATGACAGCGGTTTGTCTCTGAAGTGTGGTAACAATGAAAAGGATGAATCTTTCTGTGATTGTTGTGGAATCAGCGGCATTACCCAATTTAATAATAATCCTAATACTTCTGCTTCGATTTTCGATTTAGTTTCTTGTAATTTTGATGATATATCTGCACAATCTGCGATCCATTGATAAAATATTATGCGTTAATTGGTTTCAAAATCACATGGGTGACACAAAACAATATAGAGCTTTCCTTCAGTCATCACAGATTTTATGTAGAAAGGACTAGCCCTTTTGTCAAGTAAAAAATGTTTGTAAAATAATTTCTTTAGACATTCAAGTGTTATTGTTTGATCTTATCGCACAGTTCACTACTAACCTGAATTATTTATCAACTTAATAAAGTGACGTAAAATAACCCATTTCCTTATTTAAATTTTCCTTGAATAGGAAAAAGTTTGATAAACGTTCAACTAGTTGTTTTAAAATGCACCGTTAACGATAATAATGCAGTACTGGTAAATGTAGAAGTAAAGAGGTCTCAACCAATTCGTGTTAAAATAAGATAAGACTTTATAAGTTTTTAGTTGGAAATGGAAGACAGGGAGTTAATAGAAAATACCGAACATAAACTGAAAAAGCACGCCGGAGAAAAGGGCAGTATTATAACATATATCCCATTTGTGTAAGTGTTTTACTAATAATAATTGTTCATTGTATAAGATTTTTGTCTTAAGTTGGCAAATACCTATAATTCTGAAAGGTTGGAAGCATGGGTTAACAGAACAAGATCTTTATATACCGTTGAAAAAATATGAATCTAAACGGTTAGGTGACAAGTTGGAACGCCTCTGGCAAGACGAAGAAAGGTTTTCTAAAAATCCTTCCCTAACCAAAACGCTATGGAAGCTAATACGGGTAGAATTCATCGTTTATGGGTTCCTATTGTTTATATTTAAAGTAACTTCTTTGTGAGTGATTATTGTTTTAAGAAGCATCCTTCTACTGCATTTTTTAGTACCATACAGCCATTCTGCTTAAAGAAAATATTAGATTACTATACACCCAATCAAACTGATGTATCTCTAAAAGAAGCCTACACATATGCGGCAATTAGTGCCGCAACAATTCTACTATTTACGATTATGATACACTGGACCTTACTACAACTCACACTGTTAGGGTTGAAGATCCGAATAGCTTGTTCTTCGCTGATTTATCGTAGAGCTTTGAAACTAAAACAAAGTTCTTTAGAGAAAGTGCCAATAGGGCACGTAATTAACTTATTGTCAAATGGTGTGACCAGATTTGAGACAAGTATAACACTTCTTCCCCACATTTGGATAGCGCCTGTTAATTTAATAATAGTAACTTGTTTTCTGGATTTCACTCTTGGTCATACAGCCACTTGTGGAATCGGTGTCATAATTATTTTTCTAATATTTCAAAGTTAGTTATTTTTTAATTTTCGTTTCCTATTAAGACAACATGTTTTTACAGTGTACTCAATGAAAATGCTTTCGTCTGTCAGAAAGAGCGTTGCTGAAAAAACTGATTACAGGGTGCGTTTAATGAATGATGTAATTTGCGGTATTCATGCTATCAAAATGTACACTTGGGAAGAACCGTATATGAAACTGATACACAACGTTAGAAAGTATGAAGTTTATTTGCTAAGGAACGTTTAACTAAAGTATGCTAACATTTTTACAGACAAAAGATGAACAAAATTGTTACGAGCAACCACATTCGTATTCTAAATCTTGTTTTTAGAACTTACATTTCAAGATTATGTGTGTACTTAGCAGTATTAGTGTCTACATTGATGGGCTTACGTTTGACGCCACAGTACGTGTTTGTGATGTTTAATATTTATGAAACTTTGAAAATAGGTACAACTATTCTGTTTCAACATGCTGTAGGACAGGTTGTTGAAACAAACATTTCGATAAAGCGAATCGAATCGTTCTTACTGCATGACCGCCAAACTTTTTCGTTAATCAAGGGCACAAAAACCTTGACTCCAAATATATATCCGAAACTTAAATTTAAACAAGAAAAATATCGGAAAGAAAACGGAATCTCTTTAAAAAATGTTAGCATCAAGTGGAATTCCAGTTCTCCTAGTTTTAACCTAAAGGATGTTAATTTTGAAGCTCTACCCGGAGAGCTAGTTGCTGTAGCTGGTGCTACTGGTAGTGGAAAATCGACACTGCTTTATTCACTTTTGCAAGAAGTTGATGTGATTAAAGGTAACATTGAGGTGGAAGGAAGAATCTCTTATACATCACAAGAAGCTTGGATTTTTTCAGCCAGTATTAAACAAAATATCCTCTTCGGTGAAGATTTCGACAGACAAAAATATTTCAAAGTACTTAACGTCTGTGCTCTTGAACACGACCTAGCCCTTTTTCCGCACGGTGACCAAACACGTGTTGGTGAAAGAGGGGTTATGTTGAGTGGTGGTCAAAAGGCAAGAATCAGTTTAGCAAGAGCTGTGTACAGAGATGCCGATATTTATTTGCTTGATGATCCATTGTCAGCAGTGGATGCTCAAGTGGCACATCATATTTTTAATTACTGTATTTGTGGCTATCTGAAAACCAAATGTGTAATTTTGGTGACGCATCAGATACAATACTTAAAACGCGTAAGCAAAGTATATTTTATTGAGTCACAAACTGTTTATAAGTGTAATGAAGATACCAATTTTGCTAATTTTGGAAAATATTTTGTTGATGATGTTTCAAAGTCGGAAGAAACAAAACCTAAATCCCTGGAGCTACATCAACTTCAAGTTGAAACTAAAGAGCACCGAAGTTCTGATACTACCTTAAGAAAAACTTACAAGGATTACGTTAGTGCAGGGAATTTTTTGCTTACTTGTGTTATGTTTTGTTTTTTCTTGCTAAGTTTAGCGATAAACATTGCAGTTGACTATTTTATCGTACTGTGGGTTTACTCAGAGCAAGGAACTACAAACACAATTTCGAACTGGTTAAAATTTCTCGACAAAAATTATTACTTATACATATATACGGTTCTTTTGTTGCTTTTACTACTATCGTCACATGGTACTTCTTGCTTGTTCGTCACATGGTCCAAATCAATTTCAAATAACTTGCATAACATTATGTTCCAAAGAATTGTCAATGCAACCGTAACATTTTTCAATCAGCACTCTTCTGGTCGAATTCTTAATCGTTTCACCAAAGATGTAGGAACCATTGACGAGATGATTCCAACGATTTTTATGACTGTACTAACGAGTCTTAGTGTTATATTAAGCGTAATTTGTCTTATTATTTTGTCAAATTACTGGATGGTTTTTCCTGTAGTTTTGGTTGTTCTAATAACAATAGGCTTTAAAATGATATTTCAACACACTAGTCGCAGTCTGAAAAGAACAGAGGCAGTAGGTAAGTTATATAACTTTTAATTTGTTCCTGAAAGTTAAACATTATGTTTGTCCAGCTCGAAGTGCAGCACTTACACATTTGTCGGCATCCGTGCACGGTTTACCGATAATAAGAGCTTTCGGACTCGAAAGTAAAATAGTAGATGAATTTGATCATCACGAAAGCCTCCACAGTTCAGCCTTCTATTTATTTGCGGCAACATTCTCCACATTTGGCTTCTGGACAGATGTTGTTTGCTCGTTATTCAACATTCTAGTAATATTTAGTTTCTTATTTCTAAAAGTTGGTATGTATGACAAAATTCAGTTCTTTGCTTTCTAACAAAAATATAGGTTCTTCTGTGGGTTTGGTTGGATTGGCCATAACACAGTCTATGGTGTTAGTACGACTAGTTCAGTATACTTTAAAAAACTGGGGAGATCTTGAAGCAAGAATGGTTTCAGTGGAACGAATAATGGAGTATACAGAAATAGACGTAGAAAACAACGACGGAACTGTTAAAGGACCACAAGAGTGGCCAACTACCGGCAAACTATCATTTATTTCAGTTTCTCTCCGATATTCTCCCGATACTCCCTTTGTCTTGAAGAATATTTCTTTCGAAATCAAACATGGAGAAAAAATTGGAATTGTTGGTAGAACCGGTGCTGGGAAAACCTCACTCACTTCAATTCTTTTCCGTTTGTTTCGCTATGAAGGACATGTTTTTATCCACGGAATTGACACTAAAACCATACCTTTAAATGTTCTTCGTTCTAAAATTACCATAATTCCTCAAGACCCGATTTTATTTTTGGGTACTGTGCGTAAAAATATAGACCCTTTTGACAGTTACACCGACGACGAAATTTGGAGCTGTTTGGAAGAATTAGAACTGAAAGAAATGGTTTCTAAATTGCCAAATGGCTTAGAAAGTCAAATTTCCGAGAGGGGCTCGAATTTTAGCTTCGGTCAAAAACAGTTGCTCTGTCTTGTTAGGGCCATGTTGAGAAACAATAAATTAATCGTGCTGGATGAAGCTACGGCCAATGTCGATTTAAAGACGGATGAATTAATTCAGCCCGTTATTAGACGGAAATTTGGAAACTGTACCGTGTTGACTATAGCGCATCGTTTAAACACGGTCATAGACTCTGACAGAATTTTGGTCCTCGATGATGGTTTAATTGCGGAATTTGATCATCCTTTTTTCTTGTTGCAAAACACTAAAGGCTTTTTTTATGGACATATTAAACAATATGGAAGTGCAGTGGTGTCGGAGTTTAAGGCAAGTGCTGAAGATGTAAGTTGCATGTAGGTAGAAATTAAACACCAGACTTAACTTTAGGTTTTTTAGAATTACAGACAACTAAACGTTGCTTTAGCAGAATGTGAGAATAAAGAAGATACCAGTTTGTGAAGAATGCAAGTTTATTTCATTCTGTTTGTGTTGAATTAAATATGTATATTATAAATTTTCATTGAAAAAAAAATGGTCGACGTTTATTTCGACAGAAATTCCCTCGCTCCTGAAATATAAATCCTACTTTATTTTCCTTTACATTTAGGCCAGAAGAGGCCCCTTAACTTCGGGAGCCTGATGCTACAACATCACAAGCATCCCTTTGAATCGGGCCCTGACCGAACGCCGCACAAATACGGACAACGTCCAATATATAACCAACGGGAAAAACGGCTTCTCAGCAACATGCATAACTTGAAGTGTTTATGTTTACACATATATTAGGATGATTAAACAAATTTTGGTTAGCGTGAAAATTTGACAATAATCGATTCGGCAGATTTTTGTTTTAATTTATTTTGTCTAATAAAAAAAGTATGCCGCGCGCACAAGCAGACAAAGGGACACGGGGTACCTATTTCTTCGTGCTCTAGTGGTCATAAAAAGTCCAGACAACATAAAAGTAGGGAGTCGGTCGACGGACTCAATTGCGTTAAAAAGAGTTTATATTGTAATTAAAACTAACAGAGAATATCGAATAGCGGATCGCCAACGGGGTGAAATTTTCGTCAAAATAACTTTGTTATAATATTTGCTATAGCTATCATTCTGGAAGCAATAATCTAGTATACTATAAGAATATTTTAAATACGTTAAAATACATTATATGTTTAGATAAACTGTTTGGGTTTCTTCCATGCTTTTATTATCGTACACCTACACATATGCCCGCTAATGCCACGTTCCTTTCAAAGAACCCGCCTCCTTCATTTGATTACTCTTAACCTTTCCATCTCAAACAAAGTAAATATCCCTTTTCAGTCTCACAAAAAGTCGCTCTCTTTTCCAAAGCAAATTCCCTTCCGCCACCCACATTAACCCTCCAGCCCTGTCTGAGACACGCCGCTCCGTCGAAAAAAGCCCAACCCTTTCATTCATTCGACAAAACGTCACCAACCGGTCGCACCCTGTCCACTAAGTATATTCGTTCGGATTCCAGCACCCATCCGACGCACTCTCCAGTCGCATCCTGTTTAAATTCAGCCAACCACCATGACCGGCCGGATTCACGGCTCGTCTGGTCCCGTTCGTTCACTCCACGTGAACGTCGGTCCCTCCGCCGCCCCCACGTACCCTCGTCAAATTACACGTCCGCGGCAGCGAAAAAATCCCGACAGCGGGTTGATTTACGAGGGTGGCGGAAAAAAGCGCCGCTCTCGACACCGTGCGTCTTAATTAGGAGATCAGAAAGCTATCAAAAACCGAACGGCGGCGACGACAACGCACTGGGGTTGATAAACTGTGTGGAGAAGGTAAAAAAGCTTCACAAAGTTGTGCGGTGGCGGCGCGAAGGGGCGACGGTTCAGCTGATTCGGGTTGAGTGGAAGGTGACATGAAAATTTGACGGGGGCTTGAAGTGTCAAGGTATGTTTTTGTGTTTTAATGTTGCCCTTTTCAAGCCAAAATCGGTGGGTACTGTTATTGGAGGATTTTTGTCCATTTAGTTGTACAATGGGAAATATTCAATAAGGTTGTTGTTGTATCAGGTACCGGAAAATAGTCTTACTCTTCAAAATTGTGTGATAACTAAAAACGGAAAATTGACCAAAGTAGTATCCGATATGTTTGGGCTCAGCGTATGTATCTAAATCTGAAGTTTTCCGGGTGCTCTAGAGCTCCACAGGTGCAGTTGAATGAATCACATGGCAGTAAAAAGATAACCGGTGATTATTGTCTTTGTTGTTTCACAATGACACATGTAAAAACTACCAATCTTGAAAACATAAATTACACTGATTAAACAAATTTAGTTGTAGTATTGTTAAAATACTTAGTTGGTTGAATATATAGAGTATTGCAACAATGCAAAATGCATAGTGGGATAAAAAATACAAATAAGCAAGGGTAAAGACTGACCTATTTATAATAATAAATCTAGCACCCTCAAATTAATTAATTTAACGCTTCTTTCATCTTATTTAATGAAGCTTACAAGAAAGTTCCTCCCATTTCTCTGTAAGGTAAAACTACGCAACCCTTTTAAGCCATGTGCTTGTATACGTACTTAATCTCATCAATTTTAATAACTTAATTCGCTTGTTATTACCAACAAACATTTTTAACAAATAGTTACGAGTAACTTTTAAAAAGGGGTTAAACTTATACGATACGCTTTCAACATTCAATTCTGTACCAACTCCATCGAAATCATTTTGCAAACTTCGCCACAGATCGATACAATCTCAACCATTTTGGGCGATATTACAATTTCTAATGCAAACCTCCTCACGTAATACCTATATCGTTGTAATGCAAAGCAAATGCAGTTCGTTGCACGATTATCTAAGGCTACGCGATAGCGACAACACGATTTATTATAGTACAATTGACAAACGAATGTGATGACGTGATATTGCTAACGAGTATGGATCGTGATTACTACTTGATTGGTCTCATCAAATCACTAGCTGTAACAACTCTGAATAGTGTCTATAGTTCTGATTAGTGTACAGTCGCGGCCACAAAATTTTGGACGTCAGTGTCATTCCTCTGTCACAAAATGTGGAACACCTTTAAGTATTGAAACCTTATTTTTTAGTTTTGTCATTTTTGACGCTGCAGGCATGCTAACACTGAATGCGACGTGATAATTTTTTTAAAATTCAAATATAAAAGTGACAATAAAGCATGGACTACATCAAAATTTTCAAAATTACAGGAAAATGACGTCTAAGATTTTCTGGCCGCGACTGTACCTAGATAATAATTATGAAAAATGTAAGGCAAAGAGTTTGACTCATTTTTATTGGTGGATCATTTTTTCCACGCCCTATTTAAGAGAAATTTTATTTTAATGTTGTCAATTTGACATTCATAACCGTTCGTCAAGTAGAAATTTGAACGATGACCGGCTGCAGCGTGAAAGGTTGTAAAAATAGATCTGAGAATGGAATGTTCTTTAAGCTATTCCACTAAAGCGATATTTTCGTGCACTATGGTTAAAAAACTTGAACATTGCGCCGAGTAAATATGGAAGAGTTTGCGGCCAAAATTTCTGTGCAAATCAATAGGAAACATATGGCCAAAAATTAAAGAAAGACGCTGTTCCTTCAATTTTTCACTGTGCAACGGAGAGTAATAGTTCAAATAGTAAGCTCTGCAGTGAATCTTTTCAGTTTGAATCTCTCCTGTCAAATAATTCTCTTTCTTCTCAACCTCTCTGGCCTGAATTTGTTTCGTCTAAACCGCTAAAGTGCAAACAACCACCTCACTGTGTAATTCTACAGAAAGAAAATGATACGAAGAAATTCTAAGAAAAAAAGTTAGAATGTTAAAAATTAGTAACAAAAAATTAAGCCAGAAATTATACTTGCAAAAAGTGTGTAATGCAAATTTAAGGAAAAATTTGGCTAATATATTAACAAAGGATCAAATTAAGGCTCTAAAAGGGAAAAAATTCAAAAAATGTTCCGAGCAAACAATCACTGAATCTTTGAAGCTTAAATTTGGATGTGGGACCAGTGGATATTATTAAAAAAAATGAAACTATGATTTCCAGCTATTCGAACATTGAATTTTCATTTACAAAATTTAGAGTTTAAGTCTGGAGTTTTGGATGAAATTATAGGGTTTATGAAAATTAAATGTGAATCGCTTAATCAGGATTTTGGGAGGGATTGTATGCTGGCATTGGATGAAATGAATATAAAAGCTGAGATTGATTATTGTGTACATAGTGGGACGTACATTGGGGGAATTACTTTACCAAAACATGAGGGAGTAGTGACAAAAGCGTTGGTGATTCTTGTGGGAGATATTACTATTCGCTGGAAACAAATTGTTTCATACTATTTTACTGGAGACAGTATGAATAGGGCAGTTCTACCTGATGTTCTTAAAGAAGTTTTCAAGAAAATCAGTGCAATTGGTTTGAAGGTTCATTCTGTAATCTCAGATATGGGATCGGCGAATCAAGCTATGTAGAAAACCTTTGGAATAAAAACTGGAACAAATGCGAAACAAAAAATTATGTCCTAAACCCAGTTAAGGGCGAAACAATTTACTTTTTAGGAGTTGCACCACATTTATTAAAAAATATAAAGCAATGTTTGGTACAAAACAAAATCATTCAATTACCAAATGATTTTATTATTATTATTATTATTATTATTATTATTATTATTAATAATATTATTATTAAAAGATAAAGGGCAGAGGGCAAGCCCTGTTATGCCCTCGGAACTGTACAATTATAACAATATGTGAACAATCTATAAACTGTCAAATCTGGATTTAAAAACATTAACATTAGGACTCTGGACGACTTCCTCCGGCAACTTGTTCCAAGTGTCAAACACTCTGTTTGTTACGAAATGCTGTCTTACAGTTGTACGAAAATTCTCTTTTTTCAGTTTAAAGCAATGAACCCTAGTTCTGGAATATGGGCATAAGGTAAATAAATCCTGCATCAATGGATCCCCGAGCCTCAACGATTTGAAGGTGAAAATTACATCCCCTCGAATTCTTCTGTCCTTCAATGTGGGTAGCGACATTATAATAAGACGCTCAGAATAAGATGGTCGGAAAGGGTCATTACCATAGGGAAGAAGAGTCATTCTTTGTTGTACTGACTCCAAACGATTTTGATCTCCAATGAGCACAGGCCACCAAACATTATTTGCGAACTCCAGTACTGGTCTTACAAAATTTTTATACAACTTTAACGTGGTGCTTACACTTGGTTTTATAAAAGATCTTTGTAGTAAATACCCAAGAGAATTTGCTTTTTTAATGACACTCACGATGTGATCACTCCATGTCAGTTCTGAGTTTACTATTACACCTAAATCCAATTGGGAATTAGTCCTGGTTAATACTACTCCATCCATTGAGTAAACATATTTGCTGTTATTCGGTCCTATATGTAGCACTGAACATTTCTGCTTATTTATTGGGAGGAGCTACTTCTTGGACCACTGATTCACTCTTAAAATATCTTTACTCAAAATACTGCAATTCATGGGACTGTCATTGTAAATTTTTAAGTCATCAGCGTAGAACAAACACCTTGACTGGATTTCTGTTTTTAAATCCGCAATATACGTTATAAATACCAACGGACCCAGCACCGAACCCTGCGGCACTCCACTTTCCACAGCTGTCAGATCACTCAGTGACGCATCGACTTTAACTCTGAAACTTCGATTAGTTAAGAATCCTTTTATCCATTCTAGTAACAGTCCTGTAATGCCATAGTGTCGAAGTTTTAACAGAAGATTTGTTGTTGGAACTTTGTCAAAGGCTTTACAAAAATCAAAATACACAACGTCGGTAGCAACACCACGGTCGAAATTTTTGGTCCAATCTGATACGGCACAAAGAAGATTAGTGGACACAGACTTTTTTGGGACAAATCCGTACTGTCCCGCAGGAAGGACGTTGTTCGCAAGCAGAAACTTTCTTATCTCATCGGAAATAATAGATTCCATGATTTTGTCTATGACCGCAGTGACACTAATCGGTCTGTAGTCCACAGCTTGAAATTTATCGCCTTTTTTAAAGATCGGCTTTACAATGGCCAATCTCCAATCTTCAGGAAGTTGACTGTTTTGAAAAGATTGTGTCATTAAAATTTTCAAAGGTATACACACGGTCTCAGCACATTTATTAAGAACTGTCGGAGTAATCCCATCTGGTCCAGGTGAGGTGGTTGATTTAAGTTTACTCAACTTGATTTTAATTAATTCCTCCGGGAACGCTATATCACTAAGAGCAAAATTGACTTTCGGTGTAGATAACAGAGGTGTTGTGTTAGGTACTGTCTCTCTAGTATAAGATTGCGCAAAAGTCTCAGCAAATAAGTTGGCAATGATTTCGTCATCAGTTACTATGACGCCATTCTCGTTACGAAGTTGTGGATTTCTAACAGATCCGGTGAGCCTATTACGAATATATTTGTAGAGTATCTTTGGATCTTTAGAATTAGCTACACGGAGTTCATAAGTTCTTTTAGCCGCTTCTATTTCTACAGATAGACGGTTTGAATAAGCCCGATGAGCTGCATAGTCAGTGTCAGATCGGCTATTCTTGAATCGTTTCCACAATGCTCTCTTTTTACAAACCATCAGGAGTAATTTTTTGCTAATCCACGGTTTTTTCGTTGAACGAGTCACAGTTTGTTTAACAGTATTTTTGTCAACTAATTGCACTAAGTGCTCTTTAAATATGATCCAGTTATCATTTACAGACGCCGAACTCAGCAAAGTCTCCCAGTCTATATTACTGATGTCATGGTTCAGCACTGCATAGTCAGTATAAAATTTAGTGTGGACTGTTTTCTTACCCTGAAGATTACAACAAAGTTGCAGCTGTGCTGACAAAGTAACATGGTCAGAAATACCAACAGGAGAGCCGTAATTCAAATTTGAAAAAAGATTCATGTCTGACAATATTATGAGATCAAGGGTCGACGGCGTTTGATTCTGTCTGTATCTCGTGGGTTTATTCACAAGTTGATGTAAATGACTATTGTTTATGAAATCAAGTAATAGTTGAGAAGATTGGTCCGGAGCGTAATTAGCGATTGATACCCATTTTATTTGCGGCATATTAAAGTCTCCGAAAATAAGCAGATTGTCATGCTCATTTACCAATTCCGTCAGGGTTCGAAACAACTGAACATCGGTCGCACATGTCGTTGAAGGAGTCCTATAAATGCAGCTTAGTACGAAACACAATTGACGATTGGAAATTTTTATAAATAATGATTCGACATTATCAATCACAATATCTAGAGGTGATATAGAAAAGGTGGAAACTATTTGCGTAGACAAATAAATGCATACACCTCCTCCTCTTCCTGATTTAGGATCTGATCGGTAAAGAATATAATTTGGTAATGATACAATTGAATCAGTGATATTTGAATTCAACCAAGTTTCAGTTATTAAGAGTATAGTAGGTTTCTGCTGCGTAACGAGAGCTGTTAAATCATCAAACTTTGCGGTCAAAAATCCAAGATTAGTGTACATAATTGAGCAGTTAAAAAATTTTTCGCTTTGTGACATGAATATGTACTATTAAAAGAATTCTAAGTTAGGTTCGCCACCAGACCAACCCTGGTAAAGGTCATAGGATTTTTTAAGCTTACGCTGAACCTTGACCACACGGTTCTTGATACTTTTATGCGTTAATTTAGGGTAAACTTTGTATAACATTTCGAGTAGGCCATCAATATTCCTTGTATATGCAAAAGCAACAGTAAGTATGTCAGATTGTCCAACGGCTTCTTCCA